AGAATTAAAATGCAATTTCTGCTTCGTGGCAAAATTAAGTTTTCACCTTCTCTCTTGCGCGTCTGCTTAGCATAACCATGCGTATTTACATTTATTACGTGGCTAATTTATTTCCATCATTACGTCCCGACCCATTCTTTTCGTGAGGTTCACCTCGTTTTAAGCTCTAAATTACCAACGCAAAATTTCCAGCACGAAAAGCGTAACGTGAGGTCATATATATCTTGACACATTCTAAAAAAGAATTTTAAGACTAAAAAAAGCACATGAAGTTGAATAAAATAACAGGAATAGAAGCCATTGTATTCTTATAACTGAAATAACGAAATAGATAAAGTAATGGTACTAAAAATTATTTGACAATGAATCTATACATATGTAAGATATAAATAATAATATATATGTTTAATATATGTTTACGTATTTTTTAAATATAAAATAATTAATAACAATAGAAGAAAAATAATAAAGCTCGGTTTTTTTACAAGGCAAAGCTTCTTTTACTTACAGTTTAAATTTTTACTATAAAGTAATAGAAACAAAAAAAACCTTTTGCTTCTAGAATTTCTTATCAAGACACAAATGCGGAATCGTGAAATTAAAATTAAATTTACTGTATCTGATTAACCAAATTTCAAAATGTTACATCATCGATAGAGAAATTACCGTGACAATTGATGTCCTTAATAACGCATTAGCGACCTAATTAATACCTCGCCGAAACTAATTTAATGAGGCTTGTTCCATGATGTTCGCGTAATATTACTCAGGAATTGTATAGGTAAGAGAGAGAGAGAGAGAGAGAGAGGGAGGGAGAAGGGAGAGAGAGGGAGGAAGAGAGGGGAGAGAGAGAGAGAGAGAGAGAGAGAGAGAGAGAGAGAGAGAGAGAGAAGAAAGAGAGGAAACGGTGGTTTCAGTTCGGGTTTCTGTTCGGGAAATAGCTTCCGATTTCGGAAATTGCCGGGCGGGATATTGGTTCTCTCTTCTCGTCGATAATATTTACGATACCTTCCGCTTTCCGTATGTGGATCTTACTCGGATCCATTAGGTGATGCTTTCGATACACACAGCGTTGCAATGTATGATGCAATAACTGTTTCATTGAAAATTCCACTTTATAAAACAGATTCATGAATGAAGATGAAGTTGTTATAATTTTCGTTCATACGAGATTCACAAATTTCTATGTTATTCATTTCATTTAAATAGTATCTTTTATATAGTATCTTTATAATTTATGATTTTATATTATAGTTTTATTTTGTATTTTATATATATAATACATATACGTATATATTTATAATAATAAATAATAATAAATAGAATAATAACAATAAATATAGACGTCATTAGTCTTTTTATATTATTATAATAATATTTATGTTATTACAAAATATTTATATTAAGTATTGCAGAATTAAGATATAATGTAGAATCTAAATATGAAATGGATAGCTATACAATTAATAATATAAGTTATAATTATGAAATAATATTATGTAGAATTGTATAACATGAAATGTTACGAAAGTATGGAAAACTGAAATAAAGTAAATAATCTAAAAAGATATATAAACTCAAAAAATATATGTAAATATATGTAATATATGTAAAAAATAAAATATATGTAATATAAAATCGCTTTTTTTTAGTATACCTGTAAATAATAAATATACTTTAATTGTATATTTACAGCTTACTTTTTGCTTTAAGAATTAATTGCTTTTTAAATTTTCATCACGACACGTTTTTCGGTTAACGAGTCATTTGTACAACTCATAAAATAGCTTTTTCAGGATTAATCAATTATTTTTTCTCAACAAAAATAGCTCAACGAAATTTTTATCCTCATCGTGAGGGAAAAGGGAAAGGTACTGCTGGCACGGATGCACTACTAACTTGATGGGGTTTAATTGAATTTTCAGACTGTCCGAGTCGACAGATAAAACCACGCTAATGAAAACGCTCGATGAAACGGGTTGGAGCCATATGCAAATCTGTTGATTACTCTCCCGTGTATTCTATATATTCCAACTCCTAGAAATCCAATCCAAAAGACAGCTTTGTATGCTTGTCTTTTTACCTCCTCCTTTCTCTGCGTATCTTTATCTGTCTAATAAAAAATAAAATATACATATAATATATATCAAAGATAATATATATATATATCAAAGATATCATTAAAATATGAATATTTTTCTAAATAAATGAAAGTTTTTTCACACAAAAATTCTCGGAATATATAAAAATCGAGTTACTTCAAAATACCTAAAAATTTGTAATTAATATTTTAAATAATGGAAATGAAAAATTGTATCATCTTACAATATTAAATAAATTAACAAACTAAAAAAATGCAGAAAAAAATGTAATTATATTTAATTCCTATCTTGCTTTTTATTGAATCATTGCGGTTGCAATTCAGTAACAATTTCTGCAGGGATATGTAATTGTGGTAACAAAATTCGCAGACGCCAATATTATTGCGCAAACTTTCACCGATATTTCATAGTCGCATGATTTAACGTTCAACCGACACTTTACCAATTTAAAATGGAAAGCACCTGATAACATCCATACTGATTGGTACAATAATTGCACTTGGCAAAGCTATTTTTAAGTGAATAACAATAATAAATATTTTTATCTTTAAATAATCTGAATTGTTTTAAAGTGTCCATATCTATAAAAATTCAATTAAAAAATACTGTTCAATGAAATATTGTTAATTATTTAATTATAATTATATTATTATATAATTTGAATGTTCCCTTCAACAATTATATAATCATAAAGAAATATATCTATACAATTTTTAAATGTTAGTATTAATAAATATATATTAGGATATAATCAAATGATAATATTTAACTGTTTAATAGACAATAAAATGAAAACTGGAGAAATGTAATCAAATTCTGTAATCGATAAGAACATTCATTACGGAATTAATATAACGTTGTAGAATACTGGAAAGCATACGTGAATCTGAAATTCAAGTACTTCCATCATCGCGCATAATTTAGAACATTATTTTGATAGGAAATCTCGGACTGACATGAAAATACTTAACATGGCACATGTGTTAATGTTGGCAGCTAACAATTTGACTTCAGCATTATTTTCCAGACTATATGTATGTGACCGTATTACATATTCGTGGAATGCAATCTTGTTGAAGAACAAGCACACATGTACGTCAGACTATTCGAATTATCGAAATTGCGCTCGGCTTTCATTAACCAAAAAATATTACATGTTATTTATACATTTAAATACATTTAAAATTTTTATTTGAAATCAATTTTGATTGAAGTAGATATCAAATCGTTAAATTTATTAAACTCGCACGTGATTAATTATAAGTGTATTATTTATTATTGATTTATTTTACTCTTTTATGATCCAAATTTTTATTTTAATTAATAAGAGTTTTATTGATTCTGAAAAAATAAATTTTAATTATTTAAAAAGAAATTAAATCAATATTTAATTATAAAAAATTTAAACTAATTAAGCAATTGTTAATTTAAAATTTAATAATTTAAAAATCTTATTTTAAATTTAAATAAAATAGAGATTTATATTTAAAAATATGAGGTTATTTTTTAATATAAAAATGTGAAGAAAATTTCATTATCTTATTGTTATAAATTTGAGTTTCTTAAGAATTGAGTTTAATGGAGACTCCAATTCATTCACGTGAACTGTTATGACACTCATTGATGATGAGAATAGCTGAAACGTGATTTTATTAATGGACCGCAAAATCCTATTTTCCCGCATGAATAATGCTCACTACCATTTTCGATTGCCAACCATAGATAATTGCAAATCGCTTTCATCATATATAATAGAACCGTGTTAAAGATTTTGTATCAATTTATAAATCTCGCACGTTTATCACAAAACGGCTAAACGTATTCTCAAAAATCTTAGAAGATTTGCTGTATTTAAATCTTTAATTAGTTTCCCTAAATTTTTGCCAAGAGAAAATTGATGCAAATTCTTTTAGAAAATTTTACGATTTGCTTTACCAAAAATTATTGAAATCATCATTATGGATTCTAATTAAAGAATACATTGCTTTAAATTAAATTTTAAAAAACTTGTATAATATTTGAAATTATCCTTACACAACTATGTATTACTTCTCTCGATAATTGTATGCAAGAATATTCTGTTATCAAACCACTTTATCGATCGAGAGAGAGAGAGAATATGGAACTAAATTGATGTCGCCGTCAAAATGGATCGCGGAAGATATTATTAGGAAAGGCTCTATATAGAATAATAGAACGCATTTCATTGCGTAATCGCACAAAATACGCTATGGATACTGCAGTAGAAATAGTGGATTCTGCTCACAGTTCTATACATGGAAGTGAAGGGGACATTCACGTTCGTATAATGGCTTAAGGAGATAAGAGGATTTTACGCGAACGAGCATTTACCATTTCTGTCGAAATATACGACCACGCCAACAGACGCACGATGCGAGAATATACGTTTCAAGTAATTGTACATTAAACTTCGACGCTAGTGTAACTGTTACTTGCTAATTTTTATCATTTCATCGCATAATTCGAGTTCAAAATTTTGTGCGTCAAAGACATTCACACCTTGAATTTGAATTTGAATATCTAACTACATACAGCAGTCATATATATGACTTTTACACATAAACATCATAGATAGTAATCCGAAAATATCTGAAAACCTAATATTCTTTATTACATATTTTCTGTTGTTCTGAATTATAAATATTTTAAATATTTTCTTCAACATTATTGATGTAATATTATTAAGTAACCTTTCTAATACATTTTTTTTATCTCAAATTATCAAGAAAGCATGTTTAAAATATGATACAGTATTAGAGTTAAGTATACTTGTTATTTATTTATTTCATAAAGAGCCTTGAGTTTTTATCTCGAATTTTGCTATTTATACGAATATATTATAATTGAATACACACATATGGACGGAGTTCCACTCACCGTTAACGGCGTGGAGCTCCGTGGGCACTGCGAAGTGTGCTGTATGAAGGGCTAGCTCACCGGTATCGGCAGCGGCCTGCAGCAACATCTGTTGATGATGATGATGTCGCGTAGATGAGCGATGATGGTGTACGCTATTGAGGACGATGTTGCTGGACGTCCGGCTGAGCGCTTTTCGTTGTCGAATTGCCTCTTTGTAGATCTTACAGTACATGATAATCATCACCAGACCTGGGATCCAAAAGGATACGCAGGAACTGATGAGCGCGTATGGTAAATTTACTCGGAACTCGCAACTCTGAAACACCAAAGAATGTCGCAAATTATTTCGATCATTAATATAATTTAATGAGAAATAAAATAGATATATAAATATGAGAATAAAAATAAATCTTGTAATAGCTGATAAATTAATGTAATAAAAAAAGGTGAATTAAAACAATTGTATGAAAAATTTTAAAAAAGTTATTTATTATCATTGAAGTTAGAAGTTTTGTATTTTTAAATTTTTTCAAATTTTAAAATATTCCGTCTTTTACATCAAGCTTATATAATTAAAAGATTATCGACAATTTTCATATTCATAACTTATACGTCAAAAACTTTTTAAAGCTATTTAAAGAAAAAAATTTCTCCGTACCTCCGGGTGCTTCACCATGTATTCTAGATGTTCTTTTGTCGTGTACCATCCCATGAAAATTGGAATAAAGCTTATCAGCGCCGGCAGGACCCAAGCGCTACCCAGCATACATCCCACAGTACTCTGCTTCATTATCACTGTGTACTCAAGCGGGCTTACTATGGCATAATATCTGTCCACACTGATACAACAAAGATGGAGGATGCTGGCGGTGCTGAAGTACACGTCCAGCGAATTCCACAGGTCGCACATAACCGTCCCAAAGAGCCATTTTCCTCCTGAGAGCTCCACTGAGGCATTGAAGGTCATGGCGCACATTGCCACCAAGAGATCGGCCGCTGCCAGACTAACAACGTAACAGTTAGTGACTACTCGTAATCTACGATGCCTCCGCACGCTGGCAATCACTAGCATGTTGCCCAAAACCGCCGTAGTGATGATGGTGCCCATAATAATACCCTTGATCGCCACCACTAGCACGTTGACATTTTCGGGAAGATTTTCCACCGTCGGATTTTCTACTGATGACGTTACATTTGCGGCTGTTGTTGTGGTCGCTGTTGTGCTAAAGGCGGTAATGGTGTTGTTGAAGACTGATGAAGACGTGGAATCCATTTGAGGTAGGCCCGTCGACATCGCCGCCATTACGTTCATCATGGTGACGGTGAATGTTGGCTCACCGTTTATGTTGCAGGAAACGATTTTTCTTGAGTGATCCCTCGCTCGTTTTAGACATCATGGTGTTTTGAAAGTCCACGATGATGATAAGAGCGTCATTGAATGAATTATTTTTTTATCACATTGCAAATAGATCGATTATTTCTCCTTAGAAATCATCGTCACAATACACATTCATATTTTAATACAATTACATAACATTGTGATTAATATCTGACATTATTAGATATTGCATTCTTTTCAGGATTTCTTTTTAAGTTTTGAATTAATTATAGCTATTATTGATTGATATTTTGTGTTACGTATTGAAAATTGAAAAAATATTTCCGTATTCTTCGAAATCTCTTCAGAAAATTATATTTCCCAGGCAACATGATTTCCGTACTTTTATCACTGTCCAATATCCAGTTTATTTATACAATAGCCAATACACAATTGTGATGTATACCATAATCTTTTGTTAGCGAAAATAATATTGCATAGCACCATTCTGTATGTCACTGTTCTGTATACAAAAAATGACTCAAATATATATACATATTTTACTACGTATGTAACTTAATCTTTTTTTTTCTCTTTTTTTTTTATTTATTCTTTATTTTTCTTTTATTTATTTTTTTTCCTTAAATGTAATCTTCAAAGATCTTTTTTACATATATCTTATACATATTTCTTTATACACAAAATCTACACATATATAATTATTGTGAATATTTTCTTCTAGGATGAAATTTTCATCCTCCTCAATTTCCAAATCAAGTCTTTTGAGCATTTTTGTAAACTTTTCATCATTTCTCGCATAATTTAGTCTAAATCGCATTAAATTATCTCGCGATAATTTCGCACAGTTCACTATCAATTTTCGTATATCCATTATTACATTTATTGGTCCGAATGCGAGTTTTATCAATTGCAGGAATAATTGTCGGTTGATGATGATGAAGATTAAAACTTCATTTTGATTACCACGCATGATATTAGTTTGATAAGCTTCACCGTTTGATTTAGCACCATTTTTGTTAATATATTGAGGTTTTTGATGATACAAAGTACTTCTATAAAACGACAGTTATATATGAGACACATCAAATGCGTTTTGTCCGATCTACTTTTCGATGGACCGATATAAATTCTGTCAAAAGCAATAAATAAATTTAATCAACTTACTCCGATCGGCAGATCAAAGGATTCTCATTAATCACACGTAACCAAATTGCTTGTCTTTGAAAAAGTGAAATTTAGGATATTAATTTATTTAATTAACTTTAACACCTTTTATACATTAACACATAATATATTTTGTTATGTAGTATAAATTTCATGAAAATTTTACGTGGGATGTCACCAACTACTAAATAATGATGACTAAAGTTGAGCATCTAATCTTTCATTTTGAACTTGAATGCATGATACGCTTGTTAAAATACTTGTTACTCGTATTTGCACGAGATAGATGATGGATATTATTACGTCAAGGCCTCTCCGAACTTTCAACTGTCTGTATGTATTAGTTGATATATGTGTTACAGGCGATACTATTAAGAGGATTTACTTGTGGATGAACTTCTATATAATGCAATTGCCTCTAGCTAGTAGCTATGTATAATTATATAAAGGAGAGAGAGATACATTTCTTAGCAAATTGTTATAATCTAGAACTATATAACTAGAATAGATCGATATCAGGACATCTAATAAAAGAATTTCAAGAGCATTTATATTTATGAGTAAAATTCGCCATTTTTAACTGGAGTAGCGAAAATGTCAATTAATTTGTGCAAGCTTCATGATGGATGTATCGTCACGAACAACATTACATATTCAGCTACTTGGAATTATCATATATTCTTGTTGAGATTATTTTTCTACATTAACTTAATGCATTTCAAATTAAATAACATATGCAGTAATAATAATATAAAAAACATAATGTAAAAAACGTGAAAGTAATAAATAAAGCTTTTCACACACAAGAATTTCGAAATTCTCGAAAAACACAGTTACCTGTATCATAACAGGATTATATGAAGGAGGATTATATGAATCATAATTATCTGTCATGTCGCTCTTAAAAGGAAACCAGCGTAATACTGGACAACGCAGTGAGAATACTTCCTCTTTTATTTTTCGACATTACAAAGCAGTACATCCGGATGTGATATAATTACACAACTGTATATCAGTAGTTGACATAATGAAATATCGGTCAAATTCTCAAAATGCCCGCGGCGATCTTTAATTACTACATCGTCATCAGTAAAATGGCGACACAGTGGCAGTATATTAAAAGCAAAAAGAGGTTAATGACTTCCTGATTCTTGTGGCAGGAATATTTAGAATACAGGAAAGTCTCTTCCTCGTTTCTCGAATAATCGATAAACGCATTCCAGCAAGAGATTCTCAGCTGATCTTTCATATATCTAACAGTAATTCTTTTTTGTGATAATAAGTGTAAATGTAGAATATAAAAAATAGTATTAAAGATAATAATAAACGAATGAAACATAAAAATATAAAGAAATTAACAAAATCTCAAATTTATATATATTATAATATAATAATTGTTTTATATTCACTTTAGAATAATAAACATATTTATTAAAGTTTAATATAAAATAAGTTTATTTTATTATATATATAGAAGTAATTCTCAAAAGCATTTTTGACAGAAGAATTATTGAATTTTCTGAAAATTTGTTCTTACTGTTTACTGAGAGAATTTTATAAGAAATATTGAATGTTTTTATATATAGATTTATTACATCTTTAAATCTTTTATTTCAAGTTTTATTTCAAGAATTTTACTTTCAAAAGAAACATTTAAGACATGTACACACAGTGGGATTCTCAACTGTTATTTGCATAATTTTTAATTAAAGATTTGTACTTATTATTTGAAAAAGACCTCGATTCTAAGGATATTGATGTCGCTTTCTTTTGCAATTTAAATAGATACGAATGAATTCTTTTAATGAAAGATGAATCGGCGGTATCATAAAATTTAGATCGCCCTCGATTCGAAGCTTTGCCTACCTCTAAGTAATTACAAGACAAGACAAAAGTAACGAACAACTTTTAATCAGGCAGCAGCTTCCACTTAACGTAATTCGTCGTGAAACTCAACTATGATTTATTGTAAAAAGAAGAAAATTGGAATATCATTTATGAAAAGCAAACAGATAAAATGATTAATACAGTATAAAACATTAAATTGGAATAATTTAAAAAAGAAATTAAATGTGATAAACATTCTTCTATAAATTGATTAAAATAAAAATATGTAATTATAAAAATAGAATTCAAAAGTCAAATTGTATTTAATTCAAGATAATAAACTATTATTTAAAAAGAATAAATATATTGCACTATTGACATATTGTACTGTTGTACTATCGACTAATTTTAGATTTGAAAAAATAAATGTATATATACAAAACTTGATAATAAAGTTAGGAAATAATAAAATAAATTTTTTTATTATATATTGTTTTCATTACTTTTAAATTATTAAATAATTATATATATCTTTTTCTTATTTATGTAATATTTAAAATATATATAATAAAATAATCAAGATGTTAATTTTGGATAATTATATAATAGAATTATAAATAGATTAAAATTTTAAAACAGTTATATCTTATATGCACATGAAGAAAGGTACAAAGAAAGATAAAAGTAAAAATATAATAAAGTATATCTAATAAACATCTAATATCTTTTTAACAAATTTTTGTGAGAAAGTTCCTAACTTTTTCTAAGTAGAATCCTTAACATGGTAACATTAGAATCTTTGCATCTACGTACGTGATCTTAAAAGGGATCAAATTCTTTGCACAGGAGTTAGTGAATAGATAGAAGATATTGATCTCGTAAGCAGTTTACAGCAGTTATCGCAGTAAAACTATTGTCTATAATAAGATTTATATAGAAATTAGCATTAAACTTTAAATATAATGCTTTAACAATACTTAATATATAATAGAAAAGCTTATTGATATTGTTCACTACTAGTTAGAAGTAGTGCACTGCACTTTATTTAACGTTTTTGGTAATATATAGTTGACTTTATAGTAACTGAATATGATTCTTTCTTATATGATTCTTTGTTATAATATTCAAAATATAAAATTGTGTATAATAGAATTCTTAATTTATTAATATCTATTTTTGGATTCCTAGGATTATTACATTTAAAAAATTATAATCAAAGTAATATAATTTTAAATATGTCAAGAATAATATACTTTAAAAATGTCGTTAAATATTTTCTATTTTCTAAAATTATTATTTGAATACATAAAATTTTCTAGAAAAATTATTATGTATTGGAAAATAAATTGAAGTTTTTTTTTAAAACGTAGAAAACAATTATAATGTAGCTATTGCTCTTTACAAAATTCTTTATATTATAATTTATTATTTATATAAATGTTTTTAATAAATTGCACATGTGCAATGTGATTGTATTATTATATTTTAATAATATTGATAATAATAATAATAACTTTAATGAATGTAGTGGTTAACGAGTAGAAATGTATATACAATAATAATGTTAGAATCAATATTGTATTTCATAATTTTTTATTTCTATAATTTAATTTTTCTTTCTGTGTTGATATTCTTCTTCTCTTCATGTTATTAATAAAGATCTTTATCAGAATTATGATCGTTTTAAAATATTAAATAGACTAACTTACGTTTATTTTCACAAAGTATGAAAATAAACACAGAGTACATCTCTCTCGAATATTTGTATGTGAATCGTAAGTTACAAATTGTAATCGAATGCTCGCGTGTTTACGTGAAATCCAATCTTGTGAGTGAAGAATCAGCACCTCTACTGAGGAAGAGTTTTCTTCTCGAATCACGAATTTGCGCGCTTATCGACGATTCCTCTCGATCGTATTACGAGATCTTGTAAAAAAGATTTCAAGAGCTGAAAAAAATGTACGCACTTGTACACAAATGTACTACTTGAGATAGAAAAACTACTTCGCAAAATAGGAACATACACTCAAATACTGAAAAAAAAATTTAAAGAATACAAAATAGTTTAGTACGCAAACAGTTGAAAAAGAGATCGAGAGAAAGAGAAAAACTTTAACGAAAATAAAACTCAGCGAGTAAATTGGAATCTCGAATGGTCACGAAAATATCCGTTATAATATAAATATATTTT